TAGAGATCAGGACTAGGCCTCTGGCATTTACCAACTTCTCTCAGCTTCCTCTTCATCCTCCAGGCACCTGCTCCCAACCTATGCTTTTGGACAGACTTTTCTTCTGTCTTTTCTAAGCGTCTCCAGGATTCCCACCAGGGCCTGCAAAGCATCCATTTTTAGGCCTTACTCTTTTCCCTCTCAAGAATCCAATCTGCAGTTTCCTAGAAGAACTGCTCTGTCAGTTGGCAAGGGATTCAGTGGGTCTCGATAAACATCACATCCATGTGATGCTTCCAGTAACTGTACTAGAGATTTATGCTTATGAAAAGGAATGTCGCCAGAAGTTGCTCTGAACTGCAACTCTGAGCAAGCAGATGAGCTTTCTGGAGCTTTCAGTCTCATGTTTGGGCATCCAAGGTCAGGACAAGAGATCTGCTTGGATCGAATTGCCCACATGCTGAAAATTGTGTATTCTCAAGTGTGTAACATGTGGTGAAGAACCATACCCTACGTAGCCATCTAATGCTGAACTCAGAGCCACAGACCCAGGCAGTCGACAACTGCAGCCCACCCTTGTAGTTAAGAGACAGGATTCTAAAAATGTCTGCTTTAGAGATCATCACCCCAATAAACCCACTCCCTCAAAAAGTGAATTGATGATGTGCAGAATAGAATAATCTCTTTGAAAATAATATGAGAAGAAGCCTCCAGGCACTAAATAAATTACATCTGTTGCTCTGAAGTAAATAGAATTATAACAAAAATGATCAACAATGAAAAGAATGTGTAAGTGGAGAAGAGGATTTAAAGATCTCACTCAACTCAACTGCTCCTCCTAGTGCAATAACAGTGTTCTTACCTTTGCTCATGTTGCTGTACTGGCACAGAAATGCAAAGCTCTAACTTATTTTGCAACACGTTATTATGATAGGACATTTCAGATCAACTTAGGACAACAGGAGAGTAGAAAACAGGGTCCTTCCTTTTCTTGAGAAGATGCTCACTTAAATCTTAAAGAACACACAGGTTATGATGGCCATAAAAATACAACAGGGCATTTCCAACATAAATACACAGTACGAATGTCATGTTATTCCTCTAAATGTTATTCTTAACACACTGTGTTTTGTGCACATATAACACAACTATCCAGCAAGTCATCTTTGAAATATGTTTTGGAAGTTAAACACTGAATCAGATAAAATATCCAAGGAGAGTTCAGGAACACAGAGTTAACACAAAACCTTGCAAATCAGGGTTTCTGACCCTGCTGGTACATTCAGATATATCAGGTAGATGGTTTTTTTTTTTTTAATTTTTTCTCTCTATTTGTACATTTCCAGAAAGGTAGCTGCATTACAATATCTGTATTTACTACACATGTAAAAACATCAGTTTTTGCAAGTTCCTAGGAGAAATCCAGCAGCACTGAACAGAAGGACTGTAAGCAGAACTCAAGCAGATGGGGAAGCAGGAGAAGGTTAACCTGTACCTACGCAAGTCTATGAACCTGCTTCACTTTCCAAGCCACAAGCTGTGTTTTCCAGATCTGTCTTCTGTGACTTAGTGGTTTATCTTTAGTTCTCTTTTTGATACTTTCAAACCTCCCAAATTGTTCAGCTGTTAAAAAGTTCCAAAACAAGCAAATGTGTTCCTGGAATCTTACCCTCAACTTTGCTGCATATATTAAGTCTCCTTCTCCAGCCAAAATAATAAAAGATCTTTTAAGTGGCTGAAATTCTTGGTTGATTGCACATACATGCCAGTGCCAGACAACTATAAATAAAGAGATTTGAAAGAGAAATAGGGAGAGTCTTTATAACTCCCATGAAATAAAATGGAATGTTTTGAAGTCAGTCAGAAAACAGTACATGTTTTTATAAAAGTAAGATTTGTCTTCCTGTAATCCCAATTCTCCTTTATGTAGGAAGAGTCCACGTGGATCATGCACTTCCAGTATGAGGAAATCAGGGAACTTCCTTTTCTTTATTAATTTATATTTCTCATTCTCAACCCTATAATTATGATTTCTTCTTTACATTATCCTTCTTAGTTTAGATATCTGCTGAATCTTTTAATATTTTTCCCATATCACTGCTTTGCTTTCCCAGAACCCAAAAAATTTTTCAAAGGCTAAAACTATGCCCATGGTTACTGATTTAAAGTCAGTAGAGAATTGCATGGGTGTTACCTAGGACAGACTTGGCCCCAAAATAAACCGGGTCACTTGTGAGAGCTTCTCAAATAACTTAAGGATTCATATCTTAAGACATGACTCTCTTAGGCAAATTAACATGTCTACTAGCTTCAATAGCTGGGTTAATACATATTTTTAAAAACATTCTTACTTAATTTTGAACAGTGACTTACTTTTTTATATTAACTGACACAACTTATACTAATCCATTTAAATTGAATTCAAATTACTTCTTGCCAATTAGTTCAATTTATTTTAAACCTATTATCACTGTTCAAGAAAATTTACCAGTTGTTTCAGTTTGGTAACTGTGCTGCAGACCAGCAAAGTCAGCAGCAATGGAGAGAACCAGCACCTGTTTCACAGTCTTTTAACGAAGTTCTTTCAAATCCAGACCTTATTCCTGAAGGGAGTGATGTTGGAATGTTGGTGATCATTACAAGGCACATGTGGAAGAAAAATCAGCTATATAATTAATGTCTCTGAATCTTCGTTCTCTAAATTGTGTTGGGTTTGAATTGGCTAGAAGTTACAGTTTGGCTCTAAAAATTCAGCATCAACACTGGAATACCAGAAAGTAATAACTTTATTACTCAATGTTTCTTAAATAAACCCTCAAGGCAAGAAAAATAAGACTTAAGGGGACTTAAAAAACAGCATGGTTCTAAACAAGCCATGTTCACAATTTTAAAATCTTACCTCAAGCTCAGCTCAGCTTTTAATATTTTCCATAAAATATTTAAAATGTAATCTAAGACTAGGACTCAGTTTATTAAATGCCTTTAAATTAATTCTAATTATAAATTCTATAATTCTAATTATCGATTCCTCACAAATGCTGCTATGCTAATTATGATTTGTCAGATTTTCCTGTTACTTCGAATGCAGGGTTAGAGTCTAATTCAACTGCTTTATCAAGAATTGTTTCATAAAATGGTTATCTGGCTGGATGGAGCGATGTCTTATTCCCATGCGAGAGGAATGTGTTTGATCATTTAATTAAGGTAGGAAATGTTTGCCGCATATCTTACCAGGTGTATAAAAGCAACTAATTAAAGTATGTTGGACCAGGGCAACTAAGTAAAGTATGTTGGGTCAGGGGTCAAGAAAGGGGCAGGTGGGAGGTGAGGAGATTGCACAGATGCTCTTGGTGGGGGGGGCCCTCCTGGAGCAGTCTGGTGTGGAAAACCCACTCTGATGCCAAGACCTGTGTCAGACAGAAACGAGTGTATCAGTGTGTTCTACTGAGTACAAACTGAATTAAAATAAAGGGTCAAATCCTCCAAATAAACTACTGAAGAATCTAATGTATTTACTCCATGAGTTCATAATAAGCTGTCCACTGTATCCACTGAGAGCAGTTACTAACAGCATTTTTAATATGAAAAAGGTTTTTCTTATTTTATTTTCATAACTGATGTTATCCAAAAGTAAACATCGTAACAGTAAAAAGTGAGACTGCATGACCATGTCTGCAAAAGCAAAGGCAGCAAAAAACAAAATTGATAACTGGGGCCTTATCACGTTAAAAAGCTTCTATACAGAAAAAGAAACCATCAACAGAGTAAAGATACCTGCACTCATATGTTTATCACAGCACTCCTCACGATGGCAAAACATGGAACCAACCCAGGTGGCCATCAACAGTGAAGTGGATAAAGAAAATGTGGTACACATACACCTTCCAAGAGTACTACGCAACCATAAAAAAGCATGAAATCATGTCATTGCAACAACATGAATGCAGCTGGAGTTCATCATTCAGAAACAGAAAGCTGAATAAATACCACATGTTCTCACTCATAAGTGGGAGTTAAACATACATACGGGCGCAAGGACTGGAACAGCAGACACTGGGGACAACTAGAGGGAGGAGGCAGGGTGGGGAGGGGAGGAGAAGGATTGAAAAACCACTTATTGGGTACGATGCTCACCACCAGAGGGCGGGTTCATCAGCCCAAACCTTGCCATCATGCTATATACCTATGTAACAAATCTTCACAAGTACCCCTTGAATCTAAAATAAAATAAAATATTTGAAAAATGAGACTGCAACATTAAGTTCCTGATAGACAAAATTTCGTTATAACAAATTACAGTTGACTTAATCACAGCAGTTCCAGTTATCTTTCCCCCAGTACAATGCTTGAAGTGTGATGCCCACAACCAAACAGGAGTGACTCAATCATTTGGTTTCCTACTTCCAATGATTGGCTTTCAGAGAAAAGACTCCTGAATAACTTACAAAAACCAGATCTTTAGATTTTGTGAAATTTCAAAACCAAGAAATAAAACTAATTCCACAAGTTCAGATGAGAAAACGGAAATGAAATCAGTGGTATGAAATCAAATGAAATCACTTGATTTATCAAGTGATAAATACACTTAGCATCACAGTAAGGCTTAGGGGGAAAATATGTGAAGAAAAGAATCTGAAAGATCAAATTCATCCAGCACAAACGTTTTCACTAACATCATTTAGATTAGAAAGCAAGTCATATACTATATTCTACAAATGTCATTTTGCGGATACAAAAATATTTCTTCGAATCTGGTTGCAAGAAGAGTGACCATAAGGACTGTGGGACGTACAGTTCTGAAGCAATGCCACATTGCTCTAGGAACCTAAAACTCAAGCAGTGTGGACTCAGGTTGAACATGTTAGCTGGCACACAGGTCTAACAACAGTTTAATGGTTAAATGAATGGATAATAAGACAGTAGGATGAATGAATGAATGAAAAATGTCATGATAAACTTATCAGGAGAATTATTAATAGTAAAAGAGACAGAGAATGAGCATAATCTGTATAAAGACTTACTTATTCCATGCTTGTCTAAGGTTTTTAGAGCTGTACAGGGTAAAGCGTTCTGAAATAAAAAAGAAAAATGATAAACAATCTTTCTATCAAATGTTTATATATTGCAAGTATGTTGAGGAAAGCTCAACTTTTAAAAAAGACAGTGTTCTATTCGGTCACAGGCTTGCCATAATAAGGTCCTCATCTTTATACTGGACAGTTATAAAGTGTAAAACATCAGATCATAACATTTTAAACAATGAAGCATTGCTTTCTTTTGTCTAGGATAATTTATTTCATAATCTGGTTACCTGGTAATTATTTCTCAGAATAACTAAGTTTTAATTGAGTTGAATAAAGAAATGCAAATTCCAAACCTCCAAACTGTAGATTTACAGATTTATAAAAGAACATCGAAACATTTAGGTGGGACTTGTTTTTGGTTCTATGATGGTATCGCTGACCAAGTACAGTAATGTTGGGTCTCCTTTCTTATACTGTATGGCATTTATAAAAACTCATCAAAATATCAGTGTCCTAAGTGTATACTTGCATTTATAATTGAATGATCTTTATAGATTTTTTTAAATTAAAAGGGAACATGAGTGTTTTACCAAGAAAAACAATAACATGATAAAAAAATAGACATTAAAAGCTCTCCTGCTGCTTATTGTTTACTCTTCATGACACAGCAACTGTTAATGATTTAACAGGTCTCTTTTCACATTTTTATGTTCATAAAACACACTCATCCATATATAAAAATACATGCTACTTTATTTTCTAATGCATTGTACATTACCCTGAAGCTTTTTTTTGACATGTAACAATATTTAGTGAACTGTCCTTCGAATAAAGAAAATATATGCAACAATTGTTTTAAAACTGTAACATTCCAGAGAATAGGAATGTCATAATTTATTTGACTATTCTCCCACCGATGAGCCTTCAGGTAGCTTCTAGTTCCTTTTCCTTTAAAAACAACACTTCACTAAACATCCTTGTACACCTCTCTCTATATAGATGCTTCCATTTCCTCCCCAGTACAGGACTGCTTGGCAAATGGGAGGCACACTTTACATTTTCATAAACGCCAACAGATTACTTTTTATTTCCCCCCCAGCAATAAACATGAATGTCTCTTTCTCCAGATGTCTCTCAGAACTGGTAGTTGTCAGCGTTTTACATCTCTGTCAAATCTGTATTCGATAAACCACACCTGGGCTTCTTTTGATATGTTCTTTGGCCATATGCACTTGCTTTTCATAGCTGGTGTCAACATTAATATTGTGTTGTTGGTCCTTTATTGATCTGTAGATGCTTTCTGTACATGATCAACTTGTCTCATGTATATATGTATGTGTGTATATATATATATGGAATTTATGCGCATTTCACTTTTATTTATACAAATCTTCCATATAGAAATTTTAATTTGCTTTTAGTAAAATACTATTCTTTTTCTTTGGTTCTCATGTCTTGCTTAATGAGAAAGACCCTGACCTTGAGTTTATGCAAACGAGTGCATGTTTTTCCTTTTATCTTTATTACTTTTTTTTATCTTTTGGCATTAATATCTGGAATTTATTTTTAAAATATGGTGTGACATAGAGTTCTCATTTTTTTTTTTTTTTTTTGGTCCAAGAAGGACATATAATTATGCCAGGACTATGTAATAAATAAATCATTGCCAATCATTCTTTCTCCAATAATTTGAAATGACCCCTTTATTCTATATTCAGTTCTAAAGTACACTAGAGCCTGAACTCTTTTCTTTTATACTCATTTATTGTTGCCAGTATCATACTGTTTTAATTACAATGCTTCCTATTTTCTAGAACGGGGTCCCCAACCCCAGGGGGCTACAGACTGGGACCAATCCATGGTCCATCAGGAACCAGGAAGCACAGCAGAAGGTGAGTGGTGGGCAAACAAGTGCAGCGTCACCTGTATTTACAGCTGCTCCCCATCACTTGTATTACCGCATGAGCTCCACTTCCCATCAAATCAGTAGGGGCATTAGACTCTCATAGGAGTGCAAACCTTATTGTGAACTACCCATGTGAGGGATCTAGGTGGTGCACTCCTTATGAGTATCTAACCTAAAATACCTGATGATCTGAGGTGGAGCTGAGGTGGTGATGCTAGTACTAGGGAGTGGCTGCAGATACTGATTCATATGAGCAGTGAGGTTTGATTGCACAGAGAACATAATAAATCAACTGCTTGCAGATGCCTATCAAAACCCTACCAGTGAGTACCAAGAGGGTTGAAGTATCTCAGTTGTACAGCTACATCTGGTGGCAGGCTTTAATTCAGAATCTGACACTTATTTCAGTTCACACCTGGCCTGCCCATTATTTTATTTACCACTTCAGTTTGTGTCTCTCTCTCTCTCTCTCTCTTTTTTTTTTTTGGTTTGGTGAGTTGTATAATTGCTTCATTATATATTAGAATGTAATAATATAAATAAAGCACACGATAAACATTATGTGCTTGGATCATCCTGAAACCATCACCAGGTCCCCCAACTCCATCCATGGAAAAATTGTCTTCCATAAAAACAGTTTCTGATACCAAAAAGGTTGGGGAATGTTGTTTTAGAAAATGTCTTTTCTTACTAGTATTCTCTTTTTTGTTTTTGCAAAAATATTGGGGCAAATTCTGAACATTTTTTTTAACGTTAAAGATGTGGAGTAGAATTCAGGGTTGGGTACATAAGCGGTTATCGTACAGTAAATTTTGGGCTTACCACTGGTTCTGATTCTGGCTGGTGCGGGATCAGGCACCCTTATTAGTGTTACGTGCCTCCCCCTCCCTCCCATAACAATGATCTGCTATTGCCAATCTCTTTCATGTAGTATTATGATAAACGCTCAGAGACCACTTATAAGTGAGAACACTTGGTACTCGGTTCTTTGTTTCCGTGATAGATCATAGAGTATGACAGACTCTATATTCATCCAAGTTGCTGTGAAGTCCATAATTTTGTCCTTGTTTATGGCTGCATAATGTTCCATTATGTATATGTGCCACGCTTTTTAAAATCCGGTTCAATTTTGATGGGCAGCATGGTTGGTTCCATGTTTTTGCCATTGTGAATAGCGCTGCAATAAACATGCATGTGCAGGTATCTTTTTTGTAGAATAATTTGAGTTCTTCCAGATATAGTCCAAGAAGAGGGAGTGCTGGGTCATGTGAAAGATCGATTTTTAAATATTTTAGAAATCACCACACTGTTTTCCATAGAAGTTGTACTAGTTTGCACTCCCACCAACAGTGTAGAAGCATTCTCTTTTTTCTGCACCCTCTCCAGTATCAGTTGTTTTTTGAGTTATTAATGATGGCCATCCTGACTGGAGTTAGGTGGTATTTCAATGTGGTTTTAGTCACCAGCTAATATGCATTTGCATTTCTTTGATGATGAGTGAGGTTGAACATATTTTCATGTATCTGTTTTTTGCTTGTAAGTCTTCTTTTGAGAACTAATTATATTTTTTGCCCACTTTTTAACAGGGCTATTTTTCCCCCCTTTGACATATTTGAGTTCCTTATAGATCCTGGATGTTAGGTCTTTTTCAGATATACAGTTGGCAAATAAATCTTTTCCCATTCTGTGGGCTGTCTCTCCGCTTTCTTAATGGTTTCTTTTGCTTTGCAGAAGCTTTTCAGTTTGATGAGGTCCCACTTGTCAATCTTATCTCTTATGACTTGGGCTATTGATCGGGTGCCTATTCCAGTTTCTATAAGGGTGTCTCCTGCATTTTCTAAGATTCTTATAGTTTGAGGTTTTAAGTTTAGATCTTTGGTCCTTTTGGAGTTGATTTTTGTGTATGGTGATAGGTAGGGATCCTGTTTCAATCCTCTGCACGTGATTAACCAGTTTCCCCAGCACCATTTACTGAATAGGCTCTCCTCTCCCCAGTGGTTGATGGTGGAGTATTTGTTGATGAGTTGGTGGAGAAATTGAGGTTTTGCTTCCAGAATCTCTATCCTGTTCTATTGGTCTATATGCCTGTTCTTGTACCAATACCAGGCTGTTTTGATGATTATAGCCCTATAATAAAGTTTAGCCTGGAAGTGTGATACCTCCCGCTTTGTTTCTTTTGCTGTTCTATGATAAACCCAGAGACAACATACAGTTTTTTGTGTTTTTTTTTTAAGTTGGAGTCTCACTCTGTTGCCCAGACTGGAGTGCAGTGGCACTCTCCTGGCCACTGCAGCCTCGACCCGCTGGGCTCCAGCGATCCTTCTGCCTCAGCCTTCCAAGTAGTAGCTGGAACTACAGGCGCGTGCTACCATGCCTGGCTAAGTTTTTTGATTTATTGGAGAGATGAGGTCTCGCCAAGCTGCCCAGGTGGGTCTCGCACCTGCGGGCTCAGGCAATTCACTCACCTCGGCCTCCCAAAGCACGAGATTACAGGCTGAGCCACCGAGCCTGGCTGAACAACATATTGTTAAATGGACTGTAACTGGAAGCATTTCCTCGGAAAACTAGAACCTTTTTTAAGCCATGAATTCCACACATAGTTATTGTGTACCTAATATATGCTAGGGGGGTCTTCATGTTGAGAACAGAGATACAAACAAAACAGAAAAATAGAACTTATATTCTAGAACAGGTGAGGCAAACAAAAACATAATATCACCACCATCACCACCAGTACCACCACCACCAAGAGTAACAATCGCAAAATGAACAAGCTAATTTTAGTAAGTGGTAAGGGCTCTAGCAAAACAAAACGAGGAGGTTTGGTGGAGGGATGAGTGTGAAAAGAACTCTTTAGGTCAGATGATGAGAGCGAGCAAGCTTAAAACAAAAGTCTCACTATGAGTGATTATGAGTGGACCCTGAATATTTACCATAATACTATAAGAAAGGAAATGGCAGTCGTGGGCTACTGCAGGGGTTGGGGGAGGCAAGGGCAGGGAACACCACATCAATAAGGGTGCCTGATGTCAAATCAGGAAAAGTGGGGACCAAAGGGAGGTCCAAATTTTACCTGTCCGATGTCCACTTGTACACCTAATCGTGAATTATGCCCCACATCTTTAAAATAAAATTTAAAA